CACACACACACACACACACACACACACACACACACACACACACACACTACACACACACACACACAGCTGACTCGGTAAAAACATTCATTGAGTCACATTAAACTACATTCAGTGAGTGTGTGATTCAACAGAAGGAGAAACAGGAATCAGACCTGATCTCAAACAGGAGTCTGGTTCTAAACTGATTTAATGTAATTTAAAACTAAATACACAACCTGACCCACATCACCATGACATCACCATGATATCATCATGACATCACCTCACCTGTCGTCCTTCAGCCAATAGGAACCAAATACACAACCTGACCCACATCACCATGACATCACCATGATATCATCATGACAGCTCAGCTCAGGTGGAAACATCGGAACCAAACTGGTAACAACCATTAAGCTGAACCTGCTGAAGTCGTCACATCTAATGTCGGAATTAGTGTCGGAATCTAGTGTCGGAATCTAGCGTCGGAATCTTGCATCGGAATCTAGCGTCGGACTCTACCATCGGAATCGCGGTGGTATAAAAAAAAAATATACAGGATTGTAACTAGAGAGGATATGAAGAAAAAGCAAAAACAAATTCACAGTATGTACAACATTATGTCATTGGACAACCCCAAAGCTCTTTCAGACCAGCCAAACATCCGCCACTCTTTAATAAGAAACAACAGCAGCAAGAAAATCTGTGGAAGGAAAGTAATAGCGGTAATAGCGTCGGAATCTAGCGTCGGACTCTAGCGTCGGAATTACATTACATTATTACATTATAGTCATTTAGCAGACCCTTTTATCCAAGGCGATTTACAATTCAGATTCTATCACGTTCATACAGGCACAGCTACGGGAGCAATTCTAGCATCGGAATCTTGAGTCGGACTCTAGCGTCGGAATCTAGCGTCGAAATCTCTACTGTCGGAATCTCTACCGTCGGAATCCAGCGTCGGAATCTACCGGCAGACTTCACTGCAGGTACTCAGACAGAAAGAGGAAAAACAGGCGAGAAGCCAGAAAACTGAAAAGAAAATGAAGGAAACAAAGCGGTCGACCTTCAACAGAAAAACACTTTCACATTCTGTGTGTGTGTGTGTGTGTGTGTGAAGGGATTTCCAGTCGTCCCAGTTCAGGGAATTCCCTTCATCCCAGCAGAGAGACGGGCGAGCGAGGAGAGAGCGACACCAAGAGGAAACAGAATCACCTGATCAGTGATTCATGAAACTTGATAATTAATCATTATGTTTGTAAATTATTTTTATATACGAGTTCTGACTTGTTTTTTTCATTTATAATAATCTGAATAAAAAGCTGTTAACTATTTGTTTACAATGATGACAACATAAGAGTCGTTATTAACACAGAATAATAACACAGATCGAACCTTTAAAAGGAAAATAAACGGAAGAACAACAATCATAATTCATAGTGAGTCCATTTAAAACAATGCATTCATAGAAACACATTAACATTCACACAGAATATCAGGACAGTGAACACATCACACAGAGCAACAGACCAACAGGACATTAAACACATCACACAGAGCAACAGACCAACAG